GAGGACTTTGTGGATTGGTGTCAGACAAATGGGATAATGTTGGACTTGTGGGCTTGAGGAGCACTGGGTTGGGATGTTTTCTTGATGTGCACTTACCCTTTGTATAAAACTTTCTCTTATACATATGAGTTTCTGTGGATTTCTCTAATGTACCCAGACTAACACATCACCCAACTGAGAACTACAGAAAATAATGTCTAGCCTCTGGAGACCAAATACTAATTCTACCACTCACTAGTGAGTTTACTTTGGGCAAGTTATTCAAATTTTAAATAGCTCCCTCATCTCCAAAAATAATGACATCGATCAAACGCATTGTCATCAGGTCAACTCCGAGACTCACGGCAACCCCTGCCCCGTGGGGTTTCCAAGATTGTACCCTCTCCGAAGCAGATGACCAGGGCTTTCTTCTGAGGTGTTTGTTTGGGTTTGAACCTCCAGCCTGTCAGTCAGTAGTCAAGTGCTCAATTGTTTGCTCCACCCAGGAACTTACCTTATAAAGTTGGGAGGATCAAATGCAGCAATGCACATAGTCTTCAGCAATGTGTGGCACATCGTGAGTGCCTTAGTTAGTGTATACGATGGCTCTTGTTATGAGTTGTAGCCCACCAGTTCCCTTAAGGGCTATCTGTCCTACCCCTGACCAGACAGTGGCAGATTCTCTGCTCTTCTACTGTCCCCAGGAAAATAAGTGTCGGCTGCTGGGCCACTCCAGCCCCAAGCAGTTACTGGGCACAACAGAACAGCCCCTGCCTTCCAGACGCCTCTGACTGCACCACAGAACACCCTGGAGATCTACGTTTGAAAAGACCAAGTGAACTCTAGCTAAGAAAGGTCTCCACATCCCAGAGATGGCAGACGGTGGCCCACGCTCTTTTTATTCAATACTGAAGACACCGCTAGCGGAAGACTCATTCCCAGAGAGGTCATACCTCTCACCCCTGTCCCTCTAGGACTCGATTGCACAAGGACTGACTTCCAACTGCCAGTCGGCGCACTGCTATGTCTGTGGCTTTCTCTGAAACCACAGAGTCCTTTTCACGACAGCTCAGAGTGTCCGGAACATTGGTGTCCCCTGGAAACGATGCTCAGCTGATGTCTGAGGAGAGATGATGTGTAAATTAATACTCCAGCTCCCTCGCCCCTAGGTGAGATAATTCTGATGTGTGTAATCTCTACCATTTCCCAACCTTCTCTGCACCCTCCCCCCACCAGAACACTAAGCTCATCCCCCACAGTGGCAGCTGGCTTGATAGAGTTCCTTAATTGATTGCTCCCGCTTCAACATCTTCCTTCCTCAGAAACCCTCTCAGTTTTCTCTCCAATTCTCAAATAAGCTTCTTATATGAAAACCTGCGTCCTGGGCCTCTTTCTTGCAGAACCATATTCAGACAGGTCTCTCCCTGCAAGCTCTAGCCCAATGGGAACTAAGGCCAGGCAAGAACTACAATTTAATAAACAGGGGAAGAATCCAATTTCCCACACCTTCAACATTTGTGGCTTTTCAAATCCTGGTCACTGGGCACATAAAAAATGCAAGCTCAGCCAGTTCCTTGACTCTTAAAGATAAACTTAGTGGACGCTGAACTCCAACTCAGGTACATGTTTTAAGGCACAGAAGTGATCTTGACTCCTATCAAAAAGGCTCCAGGAAAATCTGTCTTTACTTCTGTTCATTAGAAATCTAAATCTCCTTTCCCGGCGCACTGCAGCATTAAGGGTTTAATTCTTTGTGCCCAGGGAGATTAGGGTGTAAGGTTTTGTGAAGATACATGCCAGCTCCAGCAGCATCACATATAATCAGTTTTATTGCCAGGTAAGAAATTCATATTAATATAGTGAATACATATGTTTACAAATAAACATTCTTAGAAAACAAACAAATGTTTTATTTTTGTTTTGTTTTTTCTTCAGTGTAGGAAGTATTATTGGTATCATAAACTCTGCAGTTGTTGACAAGTATTAACACAGGTTTACTTGCAGAACATACGGTTACTAAAATATTCACACATAAAATAGGCTCCATTTACACAAAAAAC